TTGTTTGTTTGTTTTGGATATACAAACACCATCCGCCACGCCCTCCGGAGTTTTTATTATCTTATCATTTTTCCCTCCCGCCCACGCCCTGGTGTGGTTTTTCAGATGCGCCCGCTTGCCGGGTATGGGGGATGCCCTCCCCGGAACCCTGTCAACATTCTTGTCCCCGGAACCCAGCCCATGACGTCACCGTGGGTGTGTTTCTGTCAAGTTTGAAAGACCATCCTCCCCTGAGCCGGTGTTTCAACTGTACTGGGGGCGGGCCCAACAAAGTGCAGAATGAGAAAGGAAAGTTGCGAACAGATTCATATAAAAAACGTTACTATACTCTAGTTAATCACTATACCGTCAATGTCAATCAAGCTGGAAGTATCAACTTTCGCTGCGAGGCCTACAACTCAGTGCACACAAATGAAAAAGCTTCAAGCAACACTTTAACAGTTCCAGTGAATGGTGAGGAACTTTTCTATTTCGTTGTTTCTCTTTAAAATTCGTCTGCCATATTTTCAAAATTACTTTCTTTCTATCTGATGTTTACGCCCAACTTGGCACACATAGATCATGTCAAAGGCATGGCCCCTAGCCCGTGATTAGAGCCAAGAACTTACAGAAAGAAAAAAAAAAAGACAAAAGAGAAGAACATTATCATCCGTTCCATCCATCTAACAAATCAAATCGTAATAAGTCATTAATCATACATATCTGACTAAAAGCATCTTTATCGTCATCAAACCATCAGATCTAACAAACTTACCTTTACCGTCATCAGTTCCACATATTATTATCTAATAAACCTGTTTTTCTCATCACCAGCTCCACCGCCTTCTTCTCCAAAACTGACAATATCACGGGGAGTTTACCACGGGATCCAGGGATATTCTGTCCCGATGACCCCGGGACAGAAGTACTCAGCAAGCTGTGACGTGTCTGGGGGTCAGCCGCCCGTGTCAAGTGTCACACTGACCTGTCCAGGCGTGAGTCAGAAGACGATGTCCGGGACTTCAGTGTCTCTGGCTGGCATTGTAGTCGCTGAGTCGGCAGACCAGGAGAAGTGTGTATGTGCAGCACAGCATGTGTCACAGTGCTACAACCTGAGGACTGAGGTCACCATTAGTGTGCTGTGTAAGTACGTTTTCGTTTTAGTAGAGGTTTTACGGCGTTTGCAACTGCATAAGATCATGTGAGCGCCATGTGTAAGTACGTGGGTACAGTGTAGCCATAAGTATCTTGGATGTCTGTATAGCAAAGGAGACTGAACAGACAGATAGAGAGATAGAGAGAGAGAGAGAGAGAGAGAGAGAGAGAGAGAGGGGGGGGGGAGAATGCGTGAGAGAGAAATAGAGAGTGAGAGAGAGAGAGCGAGGGGAACAGAGAGAAAGAGAGGCAAAAAGAACGGCAAAGGGCAAGTTCGCTCTCATCATCATCATCATCATCATCATCATCATCATCATCATCATCATCATCATTGTAGATAGCAGAGAATAAAAACAAAATTTTTTGAATCTCAGTAAACTTTTCTAATTCAATAAATTCGACATTTCGCCCTGTGAAGGGCCTCTTCGGGAACATGTACCAAAAATATAATGGAAAATCTATTGACTACAAGCTGTAGCAACAAAAGTGCGCGCATACACGTCATAAAGTCAAAAGATGCGATAAAAACAAATCGGGAAGACCAGAGAAAATTGAAGGCTATGGCAAGAAGTGGTATGAATATAAAATAGTATGTACGTCAAATCATATAATAACCATTAATATTAATGTAAAGGTAATTAATAGTGCTAGTAGTAGTAGCGCAGCTGCAGCAGCAGCAGCATTAGCAGCAGCAGCAGCAGTAGTAGTAGTAGTAGTAGTAGTAGTAGTAGAAGTAGTAGTAGTAGTAGTAGTAGTAGTAGTAGTAGTAGTAGTGGAAGTCGCAGTAGTAATAGTAATAGAGAGAGAGAGAGAGAGAGAGAGAGAGAGAGAGAGAGAGAGAGAGAGAGAGAGAGAGAGAGAGAGAGAGAGAGAGGGGGGAGAATGCGTGAGAGAGAAATAGAGAGTGAGAGAGAGAGAGCGAGGGGAACAGAGAGAAAGAGAGGCAAAAAGAACGGCAAAGGGCAAGTTCGCTCTCATCATCATCATCATCATCATCATCATCATCATCATCATCATCATCATCATCATCATTGTAGATAGCAGAGAATAAAAACAAAATTTTTTGAATCTCAGTAAACTTTTCTAATTTAATAAATTCGACATTTCGCCCTGTGAAGGGCTTCTTCGGGAACATGTACCAAAAATATAATGGAAAATCTATTGACTACAAGCTGTAGCAACAAAAGTGCGCGCATACACGTCATAATGTCAAAAGATGCGATAAAAACAAATCGGGAAGACCAGAGAAAATTGAAGGCTATGGCAAGAAGTGGAATGAATATAAAATAGTATGTACGTCAAATCATATATTATGTATAACCATTAATATTAATGTAAAGGTAATTAATAGTGCTAGTAGTAGTAGCGCAGCTGCAGCAGCAGCAGTAGCAGCAGCAGCAGCAGCAGCAGTAGTAGTAGTAGTAGTAGTAGTAGTAGTAGTAGTAGTAGTAGTAGTAGTAGTAGTAGTAGTAGTAGTAGTAGTAGTAGTAGTGGAAGTCGCAGTAGTAGTGGAAGTCGCAGTAGTAATAGTATTAGAGAGAGAGAGAGAGAGAGAGAGAGAGAGAGAGAGAGAGAGAGAGAGAGAGAGAGAGAGGGAGAATGCGTGAGAGAGAAAGAGAGAGGGAGAGAAAGAGAGAGAGAGTGCGAGGGGAACAGAGAAAAAGAGAGGCAAAAAGAACGGCAAAGGGCAAGTTCACTCTCATCATCATCATCATCATCATCATCATCATCATCATCATCATCATCATCATCACCATCATCATCATCACCATCATCATCATCATCATCATCATTACCATCATCATCACCATCATCATCATCATCATCATCATCATCATCATCATATGAGACGACTCCTTGAACATCATTTGTTTGCCCGTTTATACTTGATATTAATTATAATATCCATTTCTCCATCCATTTATTTATTTCCAAACAGCAAGAACAGACAGACATAGAAATTCATTCGTAGCAACTGCAGTGCGGTTACTGAACACATAGTTCTACAAATGAAACACACAGATATATATATATATATATATAGAGAGAGAGAGAGAGAGAGAGATAGAGAGAGAGAGAGAGAGAGAGAGAGAGAGAGAGAGATTGGGAGAGAGAGAGAGAGAGAGAGAGAGAGACAGACATACAGACAGACAGACAGACAGAGAATGTTTTACGGAGCGGGTTGCAGCACGTGAGACATGTATTTTACTAATGTCCTGTCTTGCTGGGCGTGTGCGTGAGTGCACCTAACCCTTGTAGCCATCTACAGCCATTGTAAACTACTAAGACAAATTTCTCCTTGCGAGATGAATAAAGATGTTCTTTGTCATTGTCAATGTTATTGTCATAACTATTGTCCTAATGAAG